TATTTTAAATGAAAATTTCCTATGTAATGTTTTAAAAATTATTCTTTGTGTGTGTGCAATTTAGAGAAGTAAAAAAAAAATCACAATCTTCAAGATTCTTTTAAGATTTTTTGTTACTACTATCAATTAAAAGTGAAGTTTAAATGGATGATATAAGGCTAGAAGTGGCTATTAGTTTAGAAAATGATGGAAATATTATTAAGCAAGTTGAAAATAATCGTCGCAGAAATGCAAGAAATGGGCTGAGGCGGGATGAAATTAATAATCAACACAATGCTAGATATGCTGCATGGCAAGCCATGAATAATTTAAATCAAAATGAGGACAGTGTGATTAGGCAAGTTGAAAATAGTCGTCACAGAAATGCAAGAAATAGGCTGAGGCAGGATGAAATTAATAATCAACCGAATGCTAGATATCCTGCTAGGCAAGCAGCATGTACTTTGAACTGAAATAGGGAGAAAAAAGGGCAAGATAGATGTCACTATAATCTCCGTTCACATAATGAAGTTGCATTTTTTGGTGAAGATAGTGCTCCACCTACTTCCAGTGAAGTTGTTATTTTCACAAGAGGTCATTCTCTTAAAATATATCAAGTATGTCTGCCAAATTAGAGCCTATGAATTGTTCTTAATTTTTTCTAAGGGGTGATGCTGGTTGGCATAATCAATTGGTTTACAACCCTGAACGTGCTACATTGATTAGAAATCACGTTACATTATCTCAGTATTATAGTTATAGACTTTTAGTTGGACAACTAACTTAAACAAAAAAAATAGGTGAAGTGATTTTTAGTAACTTCAGATCACTTTGTTGTTATTTTTTTATTAATATTAGAAGGGTTAATAATAAATGTTTTTAGGCAGTAGAACTGGTACTGATTTTAGTAAGTCTGTTATATTTTTTTACTTAATATTTTCATTAGATTTAATAGGTTTTTTTTAATTACTTTGGAGTAAAATATATTGAGTGATATTACTTCATTTTTTACACTTTTAGATTATGTATTGTTGTCTAGATTCTTTGTTAAATTACAATTTATTGATGTAAATAAATTTTTATTTTTATTTTTGATAGACAACTTTTAATCGAAAAATAAAAATCTAAGGAGGCGTGAGCTTTCTATTAAATGCTTATTCACGGTGCTCTGTGATAAGACCTTGAGGACTTCTTGGAGCACCTAAAGTAAAATTAAAAAAAAAGTTGTTGAAATATAAGAAATGCTGCTCGGCGAGCAGAAAACTTACTTACCAGAATTCAATGTCAAGCGGTGTTAATGTGTGTTTATTTGATTTTATTTTAAACACTTTAAAACAATTTAAGTCAAATAGTTTTAAATTTAAATGATTTTAAATTTTTTTATAAATTCAAACGTAATTATGTTCTTTTTTTTTTTAGTTGCCTTTGTTATCACTTGATTAGTTTGCTTACTGTTGAAACATGGTTTTAATTTTGTAAATTTAATGATATGAAATTTACTCTATTAATCATTAGTTGACAGTTAAAGAGAAGCTGGAGCTTTACATAATAAAGGTAAAAATAATTTTGTTTACTCTAAGATAAGAGTTGAAAGAGAGTTAGTGCATAGAGCATCAATAAAACTTATATAATTACTTTTTAGTTTAAAAAAAAGTAATTATATAAGTTTTATTAATGCCACAATTGATAACGACCATGTATATAAAAAATTTTATGAGCTGCTTGGTATTTTAGGATAAAATTGTTCAACATTGTAATCAATAAAATCTTTTTAGCTCAAGTATTTTAGTTGATAAAATATCTTAAGTTGTGGTGTTATACGTTATTACGTTATTTACTACGTTAAGTTGTCTAGCCTTTATATAATCTTTTTTTTTTTAATCATTTTGAAGAAACATAGTAATGTGTGCTTACAAATATCTTATGCTATGCGCTATTGTTAATGTGTTTTGTGTTGATAGAACTGGGCTATTACAGCAATTTTTTTAAGTCGTTATATCTTCATTCTATCAACAATAAAATGCAAATAATACTTTGTAATTATTTTTCGTTCCTTTTTTTAGGCATTGGAAGGCTTTACTTGACTTTCTTTTTATGGT